GATTTCCCCCATTTTCCAATGTGATCAGCTCCTGGGACCAAATGAAGTGCAGCCTCATTTCCACCAGATCCTCAGTCTCCCATCCTGAGCTTCTCCCCAACAGGGCGGACCTGCAGGGGCCCTGACCAGCCAGTCCCCCTCTTCCCGCCCCACCCTCTGGCTCCCCCAGCTCCCAGGTCCTGGTTGGTTGGAGGAGGCAGAGAGGAGGGTGGAGAGGGGACCCCAGTCCCCCCAGGCCACTGTCCTGGCGCTGGCGCCCCTGCTGGAGAGGCACCGCGGTGCACTGCCCCTCTGGCCTGCAGAGCGGCTCCTTTCTCCCTGGGGGTGGGCAGGGCTCCCAGTGGACAGAGGAGCTTCAGTTTCAAATCCAGGGAGTGAGAAGGGGCTGTGGAGCCCCCCCTGCCCCAGACAGTGACGTGCACTTCCTGCTGGAGTAGGATTTGGTGAGCATGGCTGGTGCCCGGCTGAGGTGGGTCCTGCACCTGCAGGTTGGGGCCAGAACCCAGGAGGGCCTGTGGAGCCTGAGGCGGCCCCCTCATCCCCCCCACTCCCGCACCCAGCAACCATAAGTCTGTTAACTGTATCTATGAGCTTGTTTCTCCTTTGTTTGTTTGTTTGTTTTATTCTTTATATTCCACATATAGGTGAAATCATATGGTATTTGTCTTTCTCTGATTGACTTATTTCACTTAACATAAGGGTAAGATTTCTTTTTTTATGGCCCAGTAATATTTCATTGTACATACAGGATGGGGCAAAAGTAGGTTTATAGTTATTCTTCTAAACTAATAAAAGACAAAGATACTGCCGAAACCTGTTTGGCTCGGTGGATAGAGCATCGCCTGCAGAACTGAGGGGTCCCGGGTTCGATTCCGGTCGGGGGCATGTGCCTGGGTTGCGGGCACTTCCCCACTGGGGAGGTGTGCAGGAGGCAGCTGATCGATGTTTCTCTCCCATCCATGTTTCTGGCTCTCTATCTCTCTCCCTTCCTCTCTGTAAAAAATCAATAAAATATATTTTAAAAAAATAAAAACTAAAAAAAAATAAAGAGGAGGCGGAGCTGCAGGAAAATCTCCAGCCCCCAGAGCCCAGGTCCCAGGTGCACATGCCCAGGGCTGACCCAGCTGGTGCGGCAGCAGCTGGTGTTCCTGGACCAGGGA